TATATTTGTGTCATTCTGTCGAACTTTGCTATTCTGTCAAATTTGTTGCAAAAGCATCATAGGTACAGGCAAGGGCTGTTTAGCCATTGAGCCTGTTCCTTATCAATAGTTACGTGTACAATGGAGTTAATTTGAGGGAAAACAATTATTTTGGTATTTTATTTTGACCATAATGAAATAGTTGGGCATAGAACTTCCAACTTCTATAATGAAGCTGACTTGGAGCAGCAGAGCAACACACAACTTGTATTTAGATAGCATCCTTCATGCAGGATAGTGTCTCGGAGCACTTAACAGTGAAGGAGCTTGACTCCGAACCAGGGAGAGATGGGAGGTGACCATAGGTCAAAGAGGAAGATCTTCAGATGATCTGGAGGCAATATGAAGGCAGTGAGTTTCAAAGTTTCAGGCTGTAGGAGCTGAAAGCAGAGCCTCTGATGATGGAGTGGAAGAGACCAGGGACATGTAGGCCAGAGGGAGCTGAGCAAACATGGTGGGTAGTGGAGTGGGTTGCAGAGGTACGGAAATGCTGGGCGTGAAGTGACTTGTAAGTAGGTGTGAGGATCTTGAAATTGATCTGTTCTGCAATAGGAAGATCGGGGTGATGAGGGTACAGAGCCTGCTATGGGTGAGACTACGAATGGTAGAATTTTGGATGAGTTGTATTTTATGGGTGATGGAGCTGAGGAGACCGGTGAGGAGGGCATTGGAAAACTCGAGGTAGGAGGTGATGAGTATGTGAATAAGGGTTTGAGTTGCATTCAAGGTATGGTTGGAAGCAGGCAATGTGGAGGAAAGCGGCCCCCGGTCAGGAACCAGATATGAGGTAGGAAGGATATCTGTGGATCGAACCTGACACTCGCACCTGACACTCAAACCGAGGTTGCACAAAACTTCACTGAGTCTAAAGGATCAGCCATGGAGGTTAAGGAAGTTGGAGCCACAGGTGAGAGAAGACATTGATAGGAGCCAAGGAGGATTGCACCATTTCTTGGGACCTTACTCCAAGGATTGCCCATTGCAGCACAGTCCTGCTGCAGTGGACAATTATGCTAATTGTTCTTCAAAGCTCATTATTTTATTTGTGTAGCTGTTAAGAATAATGGAGCCATTAATTGACCCATTGTAACTGCAAGGCACAGAATGCAGAGAGGATATTAGAGCATACATGGGCACTGAATAGTTAATAAAACAGTCTTTAGTGTTGTCATTAGTTGCCAAGAGCTGGAGAAATTCCTAATCCTTTGTCAGTCGCTGATTATTTTAGGCACCATGCTGTCTGAAAACGTGTGCTGATTGAAAATTTCTCCTGTGAGAAGCAGAAATATTGCCCTGAAGCTTGCTGCCTTAGAGGCAGGCGTCACAGATACTCAAAAGCCTTTAGGTTCATCGAACTGCATCCCCGCAATTGTTTTTAAATGTGTATTTTTTCAGATGTCGTGAGTGCTATCAGATTGCACATGCTGCGTTCGTCAAGCACGTAGAACGGGAGGCTATTGTTTATTTGAAATATTTCAGGGGAACAGATGAATCGGATTGCTTTCAGAGGTATTAACAGCAGGCTTGATGTTTATTGAGGAGGCTCTTACGCTGTTTATCTTTCATGTTAGGAGACAAATCAACACAATTTTGTCATTGTTCAACACTGAACATACGGTCAGGAGAGTCAAACAGAGTGCGACACTGGAGATTCTGTGCTGATGTACCCGGATATAAACATGAGTTGAATTTGCCGCCCAGAACTCTATTCAACACACTCCGTCTTGTTACTTTGTGTTTTATCCACAATTGTAGTGAAGCAGAGCGAGAAATACTTTTATGATTTACCTTCTCTGCTCTATTATCCCTGTACTGTCCAGAGCAGGGTAACTTCCCTGCCTGCAGTTGTAAACACAGACTAAATTTCATTTACATCATTGTAAGGATGAAAGTGAATTGTTGAGTGAAGAATGCTGCTGAACAGCTTGCAATATCCTAACTGTCCTAACTTAACTGTCCATCGGCAGATTTGGCTGGACCATGTCAAATCCTACCGCTCCGCCCTCACCTCCGCTAAATTTTCGTTCTACTCCAAGACAATCTTGGAGGCTAAGGACAACCCCAGGCTCCTCTTCTCCATCACGAACCAGCTCCTCCGCCCACCCTCTCAGGCCTCACCCATCCTCACCTCAAATGCCAACTGCGAGGCGACGCTGGACTTCCTTGAATCCAAAGTCGAGGGAATCCGCTCAGCTGCCTCTGCCACTGCAACTGCCACCCCCTCCCCATCTCCGCCTCCTTCCCCAGCCCCTATCCACCTCTCCCTCCACACTTTTGAACCTGTCTCCCCCTCTCATCACCGCCATAACCCGTATGAAACCCACCACCTGCTCCCTCGACCACTTCCCTACCCCCGCTCCTTACCTCCCAGCTTCACCTCCTTGCCCCTCTACACACTGACATCGTAAACCTCTCCCTGTCCTCCGGTACTGTTCCCATCCCATTAAAAAACGCTGTCATCCCTCCTATCCTTAAAAAGCTCTCCCTGGACCCTTCTCTACTCCCTAACTACTGCCCCATCTCCAACCTCCCCTTCCTCTCCAAGGTCCTGGAACAAGTTGTTGATTCTCAGTTTCATTCCTTCCTCTCCCGCCACTCCCTTCTCGAACACCTCCAATCGGGTTTCCATGCCGCCCACAGCACAGAAACAGCCCTGGTCAAAGTGACAAATGACATTCTGTCCATCTGCGACCAGGGCTCCCTCTGCCTCCTCGTCCTCCTTGACCTCTCTGCTGCTTTCGACACCTTTGACCATTCTATCCTCGTCCATCGCCTCTCCTCTCACCTCAACCTCCACGGTGCTATCCTTGATTGTTTCAGATCATACCTCTCACACCACCTGCACTTCATCTCCTCATACAGCTCTCCTCTAGCCCCTAGATGGTCTTGTGCGGCGATCCTCAGGGTCTGTCATTGTTCCCCTCCTCTTCAATATCTATATGCTCCCTCTTGGTGACATCATCCGCAGACATGGGGTCAATTTCCACATGTATGCAGATAACAACCAACTCTACCTCTCTGCCTCCACCCTTGACTCCAGGACCACTGCTATCCTGACAGAATGTCTGTCAGACATCAAGTCCTGAATGAGAGCCAACTTTCTTCAGTTGAACGTCAACAAGACCGAGGCTCTCCTGATTGGCTCTCGTCAGCGCCTCCTCACCTCAGGCGCTGACAGCATCACCATCCATGGTTGCACACTCCACCTTACTAAGCCAGTCCAGAACCTTGGGGTCTTGTTTGGCCCTCAACTATCCTTTCTACCCCACATCTGCGCCATGACCCACTTTGCCTTCCTCCACCTCAGCAACGTCAACCGGCTCCAACACTGTCTCATACCGCAGCTTGCCGAAACCCTCATACACACCTTCATTACATCGAGGCTCGACTATGCAAGCTCATTGCTTGTCGGCTCCCCAACTCCTCCCTCCACAGGCTGCAGATCATCCAGAGCTCTGCAGCCCGTGTCCTCTCCCGCACTAGGCTCCGTGACCCTATCACCCCCATCCTTGCCCAACTCCCCTGGCTTCCGATTACACAGAGGATACAGTTCAAGATCCTGGTCCTTACCTTCAAAGCCCTCCATGGTCTTGCACCCCCCTACCTCTCCAACCTCCTAACCCCCTACCACCCTGTTCGCTCCCTCTGCTCATCGGGCTCTGGCCTGCTTCACATTCCCCCACTTTGCTCGCCCCACTATCGGCGGGCTCTGCCTCCACCCTCTGGAACTCCATCCCGCAGTCCCTCCATCTCACCCCCTCCCTCGCCACCTTCAAGACCCACCTCAAGACCCACCTCTCAACCGTGCTTTCGATCTCCCTGCTCTCCACCCTCCCCCACCCCAACCCTCAGCTCAGGTCCATAACCATGTCTGTCCAGCGCCTTTGGACATCCTCCCGACCTGAAAGGTGCTGTAGAAATGTAATTTTGTTGTTGTTGTTGCAATGAAAAGTGAAAACTGTTGAGAGTTCAGCTTAGCACAGCCAAGGAAGACTCTCCTTAAGCCTCATCCAACCTCTGTTGTCACAGTAGGGCAGCCAGCGGAGACTTTTTACAGTGCAAGGATGGAAATGGACATTCGCCCAGAAACAAACATTGCCTTGCAGCTCAGCCACGTCTGTCATTCCTATGATATCGTATTTAACAATGCCTCCAGTTCAACCATTTTATTTTGAAATCTTATGTGCTTCCAGAATTTGTGTATGTGATGGATATATACTGTAAAGATGTACAATATTGGCCCACCTTCCCCATTCCTCTGCCCCCATTAACTTCTTTAACTGATCATCTGATCCTGCTGGCTTAAGTCTTTCCTTGATTCGTGTGGAGTATAAACACTGATATATCCTGGTTGGACCGAATGTCTGAATGGCCATGTTGTACAGTCTATGCAAAACCAGGATCTTTAGTTATGATTTTGCCCACAAATATACAGTCAATTCACTTTACAGTATATTCTGTGAAGCGCTTTGAGACGTCTAGAAGACGTGAAAAGCGCTATATCAAATGCAAGGATTATTATTATTATTTTCATTAATTGGTTACTTTAATTTTGGTCTATTCTCTTCTCCCCCTTCCCCCTGAACTCCCAACTTTTCCCATCTCATCTTATCCACAGACCTCTGCTCATTCCAGAGCATTCCCCTCACCTTCCAGATTCAATTCAGATGAATCCCAATTGCTGTGTCTTATGCCAACAGTTTAGTTCCCCATCTAGTTATGTCCAAATCATCCTTTTCAGTAAAATGTTCTTCTGCCCAAAAAACCTTCCCAAATTATCTACAGACTCGATTTACTCTTGCTAATGGCATTCTTCTAACCACATTTTAAAGTAAATTATCCTTCTTGTTTGTTCCAGCTCCTGTATAATACAGGAAGATTCTACCATCTTTGTCCATTAGTATCACTAAATCAGGCATGTACACTCATCCTCACTTCAAGCATTTGTGTTTGTTTGTCAGACGATGCTGGAGTCCATGGTGGATGTAGCTGAGGGCCTGTGTCCTCACGTGATGAAGAAAAGCAACATGCGGCAGAATCTAATCGAGGCCAGCAATGAGAAGGTTTCCATTCCTCGCACCTTCGTCAAGAATGTTTTACTTGAGCAATCGGGGATTGACATTCTCAACAAAATTAGGTACAGAACTACATAGCTGATGCCCTGTACATTGGTTAGTGATGTCAGCCGTGGGTTGTAAGTAATTTGTAAGTTGTATTGGCTTCTAATTGCATGATTTAAAGTAATAGATTCTTTAAGATTCAAATTGAATTTACCAGGAGGGAGCCCATTACCCTGATGACATTGGCACCTGCTGAAGCCAAGTTTTTTTTTGTATTTCAGTTTGCGGCTTTCAACTGACAATTCTTTTTAATAAACCTGATTCTGCGAAACATGATTCTGCTAAATCTCTATGAAATACCCATTCAGGATGTTGTCGGTGTTAAGAGTACAGGGGGAGGATGTCGCCTTTCACAAATCTGAGTAATAATAATCTTTGCATTTGACACTTAAGAAACCTTATCACAAACTGAAAGTTGGGACATGTTATTACAATTTCATTACAATAGAAGTACGCTCTGAGTTGCATTGCCTGTTCAGGGAAATGAATTAAGTTATTTATTTAAATAATGTAACTTGAGGCCTGAAATTCACCTAGCCTTAGGACCATTTTGCTTAAACTTTTAAATTGTGTAAGCTTGTCGATATTCTTAATTCCAGTCTTAATTTGGAAGCGGGCTCTTCTTAAAAGTTACGGCTAGCTAAGTAGCTTCCACCATGGGTTCAGTGCGAGTGACTTGTTAATTTTATTGACAGGCACAGACTGCAGGTGTTTTCTTTCACCAATGTTTTTTTTGCCAGTGTCTTAAACTGACTGGAGCAAATCCAATTCTAATCAAAGCAATATTGATGACAAGGACGATGGAATACCCATTAAATGTTAAACTGCTGGGATGTTCGACTGTGACCTTTGGTGACAAAAAAATGTGCCAGTTGTTAGAATGCTAATTTTTAAACATTGTAAATATATTAGCCCTGAGCCTGAAGGAAGCTCATTCATATTCATGTTTTGTTTTTCTGTTGCCCCTGGGGAAGCACCAGGCTGAATTTGCCAATTGGGATTTTAGTGACATGGGAAAGTGCATCCACACTCGCCCTCCCCAACTGTTGTTGTTGCATCACACTGCACCTCCTGTGCAGGTCTACTTAATGTATCACTGGTGTGTTGATTATGTAGTTCATTCATAAAATATTCATGCGAAGTTGCATAGAATATGCGAGATGCAATTTGTTTTGTTCAAAGGAAATCTTGACATGCGTGTTAACTTGTGGTAGTTCTTTTGCTGGTGGTTGGTGGTTCATATAAAGTGCTGTCCCAGATGTTGGAAGAGGTAATGCAGAACCAGCAAGCTATTGTAAAGTAAGCCTTGCATTTGATATAGCGTTTTTCTCATCTTCTAGACGTCTCAAAGCGCTTCACAGAATATACTGTAAAGTGAACTGACTGTATATTTGTGGGCGAAACGCGGCAGCCAATTGCGCACAGCAGTCGTGGATTGAACCTACCAATTTATTATTGTTTTTTCCATGAGGGATTATTATCAGGCGTGTGGAGTAAGGAAACTTGCCCAAGATTTCACCCTGCCGGGAATCGAACCCAGGTCTCACGCCTGTGAGGCGAGTGCTGTAACCACTGAGCTACAGAACTCCACAACGATGCCAGCCATTTGTAGGAAATGGCTGGCATCATTCTTCAGCCACATTGCTTTCATTTCTGGTATTTGGATCTCAGCCTGATGGAAGTAATGGATTCCCTCTCGGGTGGCTCTAAGGATACCAAGTGAAATCAATCTATTTGTATCCCAGGTGCTCATACAAAGGTTGCTTTTAATTTGATATTAAACCAGCAATCTTGCTGAAAACAGGTTGAGAAAGCCATACTAGCATGGAGTCCTGTAGCTCAGTGGTTAGAGCACTCGCTTTGCAAGTGAGAGACCTGAGTTCAATTCCAGGCAGGGCGAAACCTTGGGCAAGTTTCCTTACTCCACACACCTAATAATAATCCCTCCAAAAACCAAAAACAATAATAAATTGGTCATTTTTAATCTACGACTGTTTGTGGGACATTGCTGTGCGCAATTGGCTGCCGCGTTCACCCACAAATATACAGTCAATTCACTTTACAGTGTGTCTGTGAAGCGCTTTGGGACGTCCTCCCGACGTGAAAAGCGCTATATCAAATGCAAGGATTATTATTATTAAATGATGTGGTATACCAAGACTTCCAAAAGGTGTTTTAACAAACAACCACAAATCGCATTTATACAGCAGTTTTCGCGTCAGAGAATGTCCTAAGGCGATGAATGAACTGCAAAGAACTGCATGAGGGATTTCTTCATGAACTCTATTGGCCGCTAAACCATCATGATTATAAATGTTCATTGGTTTCTTCTCTTCTCCCACCCACCAACATTCAGATGTAACGTTATGTGAATGTGATCTATACACTGGAATTTATGGATAATGTAACTGTGACTTGCATTCATTGGACCCAGAAACTATTTTTCAGGATGTGTGCTGAAAAATGGACAGTAAGTTGTAATGATTCATTATTTTTCTCCATTTCTGATACAGTGAGGTGAAGCTGACTGTGGCGTCATATCTGTCTGACCATATTGTGGATGAGATACTAGAAGCACTTTCAACCTCACAGCACACACTGGTAAGTGGACACAAAATTGTTCTTTTGTTGTTTGGGAAAAAAAGCCACTGCACTCAACAGCAAATATGAAGCATTTGGTGATGTTTCGACATAAGGCACTTTTAAAAATGAAAGTTTCCCCCACAAAGTACACAGTCACACCACTTGATATGTACCTTGTGAAGCGCTTTGAGACGTCTCGACCATGTGATAGGCACTATATCTAATGCAGGTATTAACATAATAAGTTCTTTAAAACCGTGTTTTTAAACATTTAGCATTTGCTCAGCGCATTTGCTTTTGATATACTTTGAAACAATGGGGTAAACTTTGAAATGTGGCTGGTTAAAAGTAATACAGTGAGAATGTTCACAGCAGTAACATTATATTAACACGGCAGATCATTATCTTCTACATTCGAGCATCTGCATATGTTTATTTGGTGCAATTTCACAATTTCTTGGCACCCCCTTCCACCTCCACCACATGTAACAAAAAGGTATCGGCATGCATACTTGTGAACGTATACAGCATTGTAATCAGTATTACTGGTACTGCTGTTCGAGGAAGAATGAAAATATGTTCCTGCCATGTGAGAGAAGCAGATGCCAAAAAGCACTTAATAGTCAACCTGATACATAAAAAAATGCTGCTTTGCCCTTGTTGTGTTAACTGGCTTAAAGGTTGCTGACTGTTCATCACCTATTCATGAAAACATCTCTGGAAGCTGCTCCTTTCCTGTAATCTTTGGCGCATTCACAACATAGCTCTGCTGCTTGTAATTCCCTGGGTGGCGCTGAGGCATGACTAATAATTCAGTGCATGATCGAACCACTGTAGTTGTTTGTAATGAGGATAGTGTAACAACACAATATATATTGGACAGCTCATCGTTTTCAAGATATACAGTAATAGCAGCACTTGAATATTCAGTTTCTCTTCTTCATGTTTAAATATAATGCTAATGTCAATGTTTGGGAGTAATTTTACTTTGTTGCGTTAATAAGGAAGCAGCAAACAGTGGAGAAATTCATTTACTGGGATCACTTCACACTTGATGTACTTCACTCCAAATCCAACTCAATGGATTTACAAAGAAAACCAGAAACAAAGCAATCTTGTTTGCAATTTGATGATTGTTTTGCCATTTTTGCTTCTGAACCTGTGAAAATATCTCTGGGATTTTCATATGTAGGTGGGATGCATAGAACTCTGTTTGGTTTGGATACTCTTAAGCATGGTGATGGGTTTCCACATGTGTCAGACTGACTAAAAGAAATACGAGTATGTGAGTGAAAATTACCTGAGAAGAAGGATATGCGTCCACTGCTCTTTGTACACTGAGCAAGTATAACTAAAATTCCAGGAGGAACTCCTGTGTACCATTTCAACTCCTTACCCACTTAACTTGACAGATGACGAGTCACGTAACTAAAGATGCATATGTTCACTGTCAATCTGAAATTGGTAACCATGTCCACCATTCAGAAGTATTGGTTGTCATGGGCTTTGCATTTGTAGGATTTTCCAGTTCATATATTTCAATGAAAAGGAAATTTGTTTGAACTGTATTACAATAAGCATACTAGGAAATGCACTTCATCCATTAAAAAAACTTATTTAAATATGCTGTTTACAGTCTATTGAAAACCTAAGATTGGTTTTCGTGGTAATAATGATCTTTGCATTTGATATAGCGTCTATCACATCAAAACGTCTCTAAACCCTTCACTGATTATTTGTAAGGCACAATTGCTGTGTAGGTGAACATGACATCAAGTTATGCACAATGTCCCACAAACGGCCATGATTTTTGAATGATCACTTTTTTATCTGGGGGATTGTTGGCCAGGTCACCAGGCAAAACCCTTCAGCCTGGTCAAAATTCAAAGTTATTTCAGAGACAATATAGCGACCGTCACCAGCACTTTTATTCCTTTAATTTTAAATTGTGACCTTAATTTTAAAACTATACATGTTGAAGCAGATCTGAATTTCAATGTCCTGTTTCTCTTCCCTTCCATCTCCCCACCCACCACCAGTCATTTTTTCCATCCGCCCGCCACCCCCAACCCAAAAAATTATTCCAGGTCACGGTAGCAAAGATTCAACTCTACTTAAATGTGCCCGTTTGAAAATTAAGATTACTATTCAGAATAAATTCAAAAATTTGGAATAAAGTGATCTCGTTGAGTTTTAAAAATAATTGTTTGTCGTTTGAACTCTGTCTGGTCTGAAGGGAGAAAACATCCTGCAGGTGTTGGGTTTAGGAGGAAGTAGTCAGCCCTAATCCAAATATCCAGTTTGTGCCCTTGTGATATCTATCTCAATATGAACTCTTCTTCCCCCGCCCCCATCACCACCACCACCACCACCACCATGCACGCAATGGACTGGCTGTTGATCAAAGGTCAAATTTCAAAAGTGTTGGAAAAATTGATCCAAGACTCCCAATGGGAAATGGTCCAAACAAACTTGACAGTCTTATTTTCAAGTTGCCACTCAACCCTGCTACTTGTTCCCTACAGAAAAAAAATCAACTCATTTTCATTTGCTGGTGAACCAATTTGAGTGCTTCTGTAGTAGCTTTCAGGGGAGAAAAACTAAATTGGCAGGTTTAGAAAGGTGGTTTAATGCTCCAGATTGCTAAACACAATAGCTGCACTTTTGTTTGTTTCTTGAAAAAGTAGCAATTATAATTGCAATATCCTGAAAGCTGCAATTTTCATTCATTTTCTTGGTGATTGGGGTAAGGATAATGGACTTCCAAAATATTGCCTTTATAAATCATAATTGCTTCATTAAGAACTTTTAGAGAAAACGTTCCCTCAGGGATCAATTGATTCCCAATAGATACAGATCATTAGCATTTGTGTAGCAAATGCTATCTAATTAAATTGCAAGTTTGGCTTTGTGAGTACAAATAATGATTATTTAAGTATTGTGCATAGAACTACCTGAAGGAATAAAATTGTCCCTTGCACCATTACCTTTGAAAATGTTTCTTTGCTCCCTGCTGTGCTCTTTTCTTGCCAGTGCTCCATTATCTCGCTCCTGTGTGTGGCAATAATAATAAGGTGGTCTTTCATGGGGCTTCTTGATAAAGCACATCGAAATGACACAAAAGCGTTACTGTGGCTGTTGGTGACTCGTGTAATTATTGACTGCACAACATATGGACTGACCCAACCAGAACAGAGTCAACTAAAAGAGATGGTTTGGTTTGCCATTGTTCTTTGACGCACCTTTGCTCACATTTCCCTCAATAGGCTGACCATCTGACAAAGCGTGGAAAGCCATTACCACAGCAGGAGTCCATTGAAATCGAGGTATTGGAGGAGAAGCCTACAAAGCGAGCGACAGTTACTGCGGAAGAGCTGACGGAGCTGGAGCGGCTGGAGGAACTGGATACCTGCATGGTAGGTCATAAAGTATAACTTTATTCCACATACAGCTAGCAGCGATTCCGATTCTTTTACAGGCTTACAGTCAGTGCATTTGGAGAAATGTTGTTCTATCAGAAATGCATTTTGTCTTTCAAAGGTTGATTTTGAAATAAGACGGAACAATGGCAAAATTAACATACATTTATATAGCGTCCTTCACGTACAGGAATTTCTTGGAGCGCTTTTGAGGAGGTCATTGCGGAGGGAGGGGAGAGAGGGGGAGGTGACCTTAGGCACGGTTGAAGAGGTAGGTTTTTAGGCAGCTTTTGAAGAAAGGTGGTGAGACAAAAGGGTTGAGGTAGAGAGTGCAGCCATAATGACTGAAAGCTCACTCACTGATCCTGGGGTGGGGGCTTGTGCAGTAAGTCCACGTTTTCTGAGCAGAGAGGGTGAGCAGAAGCTTGAGACTGCAGAAGACCCGAGGGCATAAAGGGATTTGCAGGTGATGGTGAGCATCTTAAGTTTGATTCACTGGGACATAGAGGAGCCGAGCTAGGATAAGATGGTGGGTATGTGCAATTTTGTGTGAGTGAGAATGCAGGTTGCAGAACTTTGGATAAGCTGAAGCCGGGAAAGAGGCCTTTAGATAAGTCCAACCTGGAAGTGAAGAAGACACGAATGAGAGTTCTGGCAGCATTGGAGGCGAGATGAAGAATGAGGTGGGCAATATGGCAAAGATGCAGAAAAGCGGTCTTGGATCACTTTTCTGATGTGAAGGAGAAAGGAGAACTGAAGGTCAGTCAAAACACCAAGGTTGTGCACCACTTCAATGGGTTAGAGAGAGAGGCCAGGATGGTTCAGCAAGTCTGAGACACAGACTTGTACGTGCTTATTACATCTTTGTTTTGGCCTCTGTGAATCTGTCAACAGTATTTTATTGTAGGACATTTGTGGTGAACATGTAAGAGCATCACTTACAGAATGTTTTTAGCAACTATTTTTGATTGGAAAATCCCAAATCCCAGTGCCTTTTGTTGCATTCACACATTGAAGAGACTTCATTCATTTCAGTGACGAGAGCAAGAGTAAATCTCTTGGTCAGCAGATATTCTTCTGTGGACCTAAACAAAATGGAAGTCGAGAACTTGCAGTGGCTGTGTATTTATATTAGCCTTGTCCTGCAGAATTGAAAGGTATTCAGAGTAGATAAGTTTAGAGATGCTGGAGGTGGGCACCTCACCAGATTATCGCAGTTGCTTTTCAGTGGTTTTCCTAACAACGGGAAACCTTGTCATCTCAAGGTGAGCTTGTGTGGTTTATCCTGAATCTCAGCAGGTTAGCGGTGAAGTCAGAACTAGAAACTGAAGCTGAGAAAGTAAGCTTCCTCTTACACTCCAAGGACAAGGTTCTGAAACAATGAGCTTAATGATTTGTAACACTTTTTTCGGCACAATAATCCTGGAGGTAATGATTGCTTTTATAGTACATCTTACATTGGTTTAATCTACTTTCGTTGGACAAGGGTACTTAGCAAGTTGTGTCTGTGGCAACACCACATAAATGAGACTTGTCAGTAATAATCACAGTGAATTTGAAGACTAAATTAGTGCATATTTAGTAATTGTTTCTCTGAATAATGCAGCTAATGTTTTTAATGAGCTGTCTGGGGAAAGGTATTTTAATACTGTTTGCATGTGTGACCTGGCTTGTTATGGCTTTTCAGTTTCATAGTGTTGAGATAAGTGCCCCCAGCCCATATAATTGTGACTAGTTTTATACAATCCTCCAAATAAAATTTGTTAACTTCATGGTAATCTGTGAGATATTGCTGTTATGTAAATAGCTCTCGTGTTTCTTAAAAATACACAGACACAACTTTACATAAAATCCTGTAAATCATTTTGAGACATCTCGACGATGTGATGATAGTATATCAAATGCAAGCATTATTATCATAGAATCTATTTAGGTGGTCAAAACAACTACTTACATTTACATTGCACATTTCACATAAAAGTTCTGGAAATCTTAAATTGTTCAGGAAATGTGGACATCAAGCGAAGGCAGGATCAAAGCAATATGTTTTTTTGAAGGCAAGGCAAGGTGATATACAATGTAGAGAACCATTTGTTTTGGCCAGCCAGGTATCTAACACATGCTTAGATTATCCAAGCCAAACTAAGAGTTACATTCATTTAACCTATACGTGGAAATTCCCATGTATTGAAATTGAACCTGCAGCTGAAGGGATGCATCCTGATGACCTAATTCCAGAGATATTAAGCACAGGCTGGCAAAACTTCGAAAACACAGCGTGTACATTTAGTACTGCCGTAATCTAACTAAGTAAAACAACGTAGCTGGCCATCAATAGCACTGACTGGCAAGCTTTCTCGCTGCTTGTCTAGCTAGGACCACCTTACCCATCAGAGCTTTGGCTTGCAGGGTTAACAGAAGCTTAATGGGAGGATTCCCTGCCCCCAGTGACTGCTCTGCCCTTCAAGGTCCTTTTGACGAGCTAGGCTTGCTGTGCTGTTATCAGCAGTGCCTAGATTACTGGGGTCCAGCCTGGCTCAGTAACTGGACTACCGAGATGACCACTGAGGATTAACCTGATTCCAAGCATGCCCACCTAGCCTTTGGGGACCCGCTGCCCATGTAATTCAAGGTTGGAAATCTGATCGCTCATATTCTCGTGCACAGAACTGCTTAGATTGACATTAATCATGAAGGTTCATGTACACAATTCAGTCAGAGGTGTGTTGCGTGGATTGTGTGTACAATTTGTTTTGGGTTTGATTTCAAGTTAACTGTAAATCTAGAACCTTTCAACGCCTTATGGGAATAGTAATGGGAAGGTTGTAGATGCTAAAAATTCTAAAGGAATTTTCTCAGGTGATTGTGAGTCATCTCAAAATATTTTTCATGGTTCACTAAACTCTCAGGCAATCTCAACTACTCTCTGGGGGGAAAGAATTCTTTGTTCCCCTTCTCCAGGAAGTTAACAGATCTTTTTAGCCTGATTAACTAGGTGTATTGGCAACAGAATATTCTTCTTTGATGGGTGACTGCAATTACATGACTTCTAGGGGTTTAATTTATGGCACTTGTAAACATGGAAGGGCATACTTTAAGTGTGTGTTTCTTAGGTTTATTGCTTGAGAAAATAATGCATTGATTACTATGATTAAGTTAAGCAAATTGTGAGAAATTTTGAACAGTGGTTGCAATGCACGGCAGACTGAGTGGGCCTTAGGGAAAGCTATGGTAGAGAAGGTCAGATATTAATGGGAAAAGCATTATTGACAACACATTCCCAATGATAATTAAGCTTCATGCAAACTCCAATCCACATTCTCTACCCTCACATGGAGCTCGGCACTCCCACCACTCCAATCCTTTCCAAGTTCCACTGGTTTCCAGTAACTCAGTGGATCAACCCTTTTAGATCCTTGTTTTGCCTGGCAAATCCCTTCCAATTTCTCTTTCCGCCCCACCACACCACCTCCCCCACCCCCGAACCCTACTCCCCTGACTATACCCTTTGCTCCGAGACGCTACCATGCATGAAGTTGCAATATAAATGAAAGCTGTTGTTGTTGTATACCCTTTGCTCCTCCAATTTCCTATCCTTTCATTCAACGAGCAAAGGCACAATCAAAGAGGAAGTTTGCTACTTGAGGTTGTTACAATTAGCCTCAAGTGCTCCTGGGCTAGCAAAGCAAAATCAGGTACTTCAGCTGCAGGTCTCCACTGATACCTACCATTGGTGAGTGTATATGATTAGGATTTGGGGTTGGATTTTCTGGCTCACGGCTCACTGAATGAAGAATCCTCTAGAAATTGGTGATGCTGCTTTCTATTAGGTTTCATTACAGCAGAAAGCCAAAGATAGTGGTCAAAGTGGGGAGGGGGGTGAGTTTAGATGGTGATCTCCAGGGAGATCATGATCACGTTATAGAGCGAACAGAACTGCTTGGTAAAGCAGTTACCCAATTTGGTATCACTGATGTAGAGGAGGCAGCAACTTTACACAGTGAATACACTGTGTGAGATTGGAGGAGGTAAGTGAGCTAGGTCGTGAGTGAGTTTGAAGGTGACGCAGCCTGTGGTTAGTATCAAGTGCTATCGAGAACCATGCTGTTTTCAAAAGTAAATCAAGGTGACTGGACTTGGTTAATTTAACAAAACTTTTCTTTCCTGCCCAAGCAGTTGTGTCCAAGAGAGTGGGCAAGTGGTCTGCCCCCAGCCTCCACTATTATTACAGGTCCCTGGTGAGATATGTAAGAGTTGCTGGCCATGATCGGATCCCTGTTTTCCCACAAAATGTACAGTCACGTCACTTTTTGCCACTTCCCTACCTCTCTGACCTGCTTACTCCCCACTCCACTACCCGCTGCCTATGCTCATTGGGTTCCGGCCTCCTGCTTGTCCATCATCCCCTCTGCTCTACCATTACTGGCCTTGCTTTCAACCACTACGCCCCGAAACCTTGAAGCGCTCTCCCTCAATTCTTCCACCTTGGCTCCTCATTTCCCGTTTTACGATCATGCTTGAAGAGCTTTCACTATGTCCGTGCCTATGATCCCCTCTCTCTGGCTCGGCATCAGGCTTTGCCACTGTTTAACTCTCTGAGGCGCTTGATTTTGTTACCTGGCCACCCAAGTTTAGGGTGGGCGCCGAAGGGGGTGGGGAGGGGAAAGATGACCAAAAGAGCAGTCAAAAGGTATGTCTTGAGACAGTCATTGAATGAGGGCAGGAAGAGAGCAAATTGGAGGGATTTGGAGATGGAGTTTCAAAGAGCAAAGAAAGAATAGCGGGCAGTACCCCCTCCCCAGATGGTGGAGTGGAAAAGGCGAAGGGGACAAGAAGCAGATCAGTGTTTGCTGAGCGAAAGCAGCTGCTGGGTTGGTAGGGTTGAAGGGGGTTGCAGAGGTCGGGTGGGGCAAAGCCATGGATACATTTGAAGGTGAGAACAAGGATCGGCCTGAGATGGGAAGCCAGTGGAGCCAAGATAAAATAGTAAAATGTTT